GGTACAGTAGGATTTTAGTGAACAACTAAGTAATATCAGAGGTGAGTGAGGTGGATAAGATAGCAAGTGATGTGGGAATAAGGATGTAGGTGCTGTAGGATGTGAGTGAAAAAAAGTGGTATCAGAGGTGAGTTTGTTACATGTAGCTATTGGGATGCAAGTGAAATGAGTGAATATGATGGTCTTTCACATGTCTGTTTCCATGCAAAATTATTTATCTGTTTATTCAATGTTGACAGTGCATTTGTGTATGAATGAACTGCAGGATGCACACACAAATTGCTTGTGACGCAACATTATTTTTGTTTAATATGTCGTATAAATTATATTTGCTTGTGTCCTACAATTGTTGTAAACTTCATTCATTCATTATTAGACTGAGGAAAATAAGCAATAAGCAAATCGGAAACGGTTACCAAATATACTTTTTTCAATTGCCATGTATATAGTGTCTGTAAATGAGCTGCAAGTATCAATGTTTGCCATCTTTCTGACTCTATCTGTGCATTGTAATGTCGCTGCAAGCATGTACATGTAAAATATACTTTCTATGTTAGCAAATATCAGTACAAGTACATTGGTATCATAAGCCTGTGTAGACATGGGCATAAATCTGAGAGTAATTTATCATTTATTGCTTTACAAAATATTTCATATTTCTGCATGTATTGTTATTGTTGCTGAACGTGTTATCATTATTATTGCCATCTGACATAAACAGAAACCAATAGCCATGATGTTAACATCATACAGACTTGATAGTTACATGTACATGTAGATAAGAAATCCAACTCAAACAACAGAAATCACTGTCAGGTTAGCTATTAAAATACAAATAGAGTACATTATTCAACATTCAATCTATCGAGGATTTTACATAAACTCATGAAATTCACTTAATTACTAGCTTGTCAAAAAATAATATTTTGTTGTGAATCAAAGTTTAATCCTATATCTGTTCTGAGAACTTATTGCAAATTACAAATGCATTGATATTTTAACAATGATTTAAAAGTGATTTTTCATCCTGATATTGAATTAATGTCAGATCGGCACAAGAATCAAATATCTCAAAATCCTCAAAGGCCCATGGCATTTTGTAGATTAAAAAACAAAGAAATAAACTAATAGGATTCAAAGTGCATTACATAATAAAAAAATAGTCCAATCAATATTACACACAATCAACACAAGAATCAAAATCTTCCTCGAAGCCTCATGGCATTTTGTAGATTAAAAATCAAAGAAATAGACTACCGTAGGATTTAAAGTGCATTACTAATAACAAAATAGTCCAATCAATAATAACACACCAATTTTTTGGATACCACAAAAATTTGAATTTTACATCATGGACAGAAACTGACAAAATAAGAAAAATATTACATCTATTTGTGCATGTACAGTTAGAGGTTTTATCAGAAGGAATTGTTTTATCACATTAGGTGAAGCGAGTACCAGGTTCTAGTGGACGACTACACAGAACAGAAGATGGTGAGTGGGAATGGTCTGATGAGGAGTTAGATGAAAATAGTGCTGAAGGAAAAGCAGCAAGTTTAGGACGGTCTCCACGAGTCAAGGCAGATTTTTTTGGTCCTCAGCTTGCTGTTAAAGCTGCTCGGGATGCTACTGTAAGTACATGTACATGTATATAATTATGAAACTTTTACAGTGCTTGTGCTGCTGTTGGTGGTGTGTAATAACTATTTGTAATTAGATCATATTGCTGCTGTGCATTGGTTTCTTTTTTGCTCTTGTTTAAGTATTTAAATACCTTACTTGACTGTGTTTATACCACTGTTGTGCGTGAGTGTTTATTAGTCCCTGTTCGGACATTATTAAATGTAATTTGTTTCTGTTGATGTTATTTCAGTCATTTGCCATTCGAACGCAGTCCAAAAACAGGGACTTATGTTTTGACCTCCAGGCGTCCGTGGTTCCGGACCTGTGTCTTAGAAGTGCCTGGACCAATCACAATCAAACTTCACACATACATCATACATGATATTATACATATGAACATCAATTTGTTTCACGATCTGATTCAAGATGGCCGAATGGCGGTCATTTTTGTTTTAAAAATCATCAAAATCAAGCATTTCTCGGCTGTTTACAAATGGATTTTGTTCAAACTTGGTATATATGTTGGACCTTGATGCACATTTTGTTTTTCAGATAAGATTCAAATGGCTGACTGGCGGCCATTTTGTTTTAATGAATGTGGTTCTAGTGCCATATCTGACTTGCTGTGACTGATTATGTTCAAATTTGAAATATTCATTATACATCAAGTCATAGATATATTAGTTTGACAATCCTATTAAAAATGGCTGACTGGTGGCCATTTTTGTGCTAAAAAATCATCAAATATCAAGCATTTCTGGCATTTATGAATGAATTTCGTTCAAACTTGGTACATACATTAGACATTACAGGTTCCTGATGCACGTTATTTTATTTTTTAGATCGGATTCAGTATGGCTGACTAGTGGCCATTTTGTTTTAATGAATGGGCTTCTAGAGCCATATCTCTGACATGCTTTGACTGACTATGTTCAAATTTTATATATTCATTATACATGTATTCAAAATGGCTGATTTTGTTTTAATTAATGCTGTTCCAGAGCAATATCTGTCTATACTCGTTTGACGATCAGATACAAATGTCAATCATTTTAATGTTAAACAATCATCATAATCTTATTCCTGACATGTTTATATTCCAGCTATATTACTATAAACAAAACTATATATCTTAAATTCGATAACTAACGGGGACTGTGCCATGCATGGCTTGTTTTGACTGTGTTTATACCACTGTTGTGAGTGAGTTTTTATTTTGACTGTGTTCATAATACTGTTCTAAGTTTACATGTATATACTTTTTCTGGCATTAACAGCAAACTAGTCATGAAAATGAAGTTGGTGCACAACCTGTTCAAGGGCAGAATATGCAACCTTCTCTAGTGACAGCAGGTCAAATCACAATAAATGTTCCTGTGTCACCACTACACTTAGTTATAAGACTTAGGTAAGTGTACTGCAAAAAACTTATCTACACCACATCCTGTGTAACCCAAAAATCGGGCAAAACTTATCAGTGCCTACTCTGGAGATTTACTTATTTCTGTTTTTTGTTGGTTTATTTGTCATGTTTACATATCAGACTTGACTGACTATAAAACTAGTACATGTATTATATTCTCAAATATTACATTCTCATAACAGATCATAACTGACTGAGAACTGTTATCTTGCATTTTCTTGTCCCAAGGAATTCTAGAAAAGAACTGAATGATATACGTTTTGATTTCACACCTGGGAAAGATACGGCAGATGGCATATCACAAGAGCTTGTAGCTGCCGGACTGGTAGATGGTAAAGATGTGATAGTTGGTATGTGAATATGTTAAAACTATACAATAATCATTTGATGTTTGCACATCTACTAGTAAACAGTATTAACTACTGCTAGATGAGTGCTTTTTCTGCTATTAGAGAAGGGAGATTGTCAGTAGTATACGTGTAATAAAAGTTCAGTTTCTTGAGGAACATGAAATGAGAACATGATAACTATATTGTTGGTTCTATTCACAGTTGCTGCCAATCTACAAAAGATCTTAGATACACCCCCACCCTCAAAGTGTATCACATTTGCCCTGGTAAGTTATCCATACATGTACCTTATCAGTATTATTCTCATGACAGTATTTTATCACATCATCAATAATAAATCAATGTATGTTTAGCTGCGCTGTTGACTTTTCAAGCAGAGCTTATCATACAAATGTATGAGTGATTGTCTGTTGTACAGTGTCCGTCGTTGTTCGTGTAAACTTTTTACTTTTTTGACTTCTTGTTGAAAACCACAAGTCCAATTGCTTTGATATTATATATATATGGATACTACATAATTATGTACATGTACCTCAATCAAATTTTGGGATGACATCTTCAATTCTCTAATTTTGATATTGTTGATATTTTGGTCATTTTTGGTAAAAAGTGATATTTTTGAATTCTTATTAAAAACAGCGTCTGATTGCTTTGATACTATACATATAGGTACCTCAGGTAGACCTCTCTCAGATTTGTTCATTTTCTAATAATATCTTCAGTTCTTTAATCGAAGTGTGCATTGCTAACAGGGAAGCTATCTCAGTCGATAGGCTGCTTGAATGTAAAGCCGGTGGTTGTGCAGTGCTAGTTTGAATTTCATGTAAACAAAACATGTATACAATGTTACTTGTCCCATATCACAGCGCGACGACCACTGCCCTATGAGTGTGCCATTATCTGACTGTCATTCCACATCTATTAGTAAGTTGTTTTAAAAATAAACTGACTTTTATTTTTGTTATTAACAGAACTCTGGCTGTGAACCTAACGAAGTACCCGATGACAAGGCATTAATAGGTTTTGCACAACTTACAATCAGCTAGTTTTGGTTTTTTAGTTATTTTTAATTTTTCAGTCACAAATATGGTAGTTTGCATATTTGCTTGTATTATCGTAATATTACATAGTATACCTTACTGGACCATGTTAGAGCCCAGGGTCCTCAACTCAGAAAATCATGATTTTTTTTAGGGGTGGGCGCTTACTCGACCACGCTCCTCAGAAAAGAGTGAAAATGACAATTGAGGGGGATATTATGTGTTTGAGGGAAAATAAAATTACAAAATTAGTTGCGTTGTCATTGACTTTTACAATGAATGATCACAAAAAATAGGCACATTTTATTACAATATTAGTTACATACCACCCAAATTTACAAGATTAACAATAGTCAAAGTCAAAATCTTCATTATCCCCACTGACAAATATGTTGGATCAAACGCAAACTCTTGATGAAAATCACTTTCCACCATAATGTATTTGCATGATTTGACCTGCAAAATGCTGTGTTATACCAACGCAATTCTTCGGAAATTCTCGAAGACTTTCTGGTAACACAATGTATATGAGAATTGTTGCTGTCGAAGTACAATCTTTTGGAATTGATTTCATATAAATGACATGGTGAATAAATGACATGGTTTTTCAAAAAATTCGTAACCAGCAATTTTTGATAGGTAAACTGAATATGGCATGAAATATTTATCGCATTTACTTTTATTAACATGTCATTGTCAAAGCGTAGTTTATCAGGGTTACTGTGGTCTACGCTGTATCATATAAAAACGATTACCAGTATTCGTTTAGCCATGACTAAAGACCAAGTTTTCAATTAGTGGCATAAGTGGGGGAGCACTTTACCGCTGGGCGCTTACAAGGTCCAGTACGGTATTATCTCAATGCTGCTTATGCTATGTTATTTTTAAATAAAAAAAAATACATACGAGTTTTCAGCAAAAACAACGTGGTGCAGTATATACAAATGTTCATTATGAATTATAAAATTTCATGGAAAATAAGTTAACTGGTTTTCCAAAAAAGTGGGTGGTGGACATCATGCACATAAGATGTACTGTTAAGATCTACATCAATCAGCTACCACCACAACCCAACAACAAACTTATAAGCCAGACGTGGCTGTGAATGTAACAATTGGCATTTTAAACTACATTCGTGCATCCAGTTCTGTGACCTTTTGTAGCCCACTATTATTGTGGGAGATATACTGGCACTGCCTCAAGTGAAATAATAATTCTAAATAATCCTGTCATTTCAACATATGCTCTGTTACTTCACCACTTTATTCTTTAGAGTAATTCATGAGACTACACCTCAAATTGATTTATAGTACAATCACAAAGTTATGTGAAATTGTCTTGTATGTGACTTGTTTTTGTTCAATCTGTATTTTTTTATATATTTTTCTAAGCAGCTTACTTTTTGTGATAATATTTAAAGTACTTAAAAGTGGTCATGGTTTTTTTACTTATCTGAAATATGCTCTAACGTACCTGTTTAACAATATGTTTCTGGTATTAAAGGTTGATTGATTGAACATACATGTACATGTATATGTTTTAAAACAGCTTAATATTTAAGGTAACATGCACTGTATTTTTTCTCAGATCAACAATTGCATATCTCAGGGTAGATTAGGTACATTCTTCATGGAATGTGAACATTTTGCTACTTTCAAAAATATCCCCTTTATTGGTAACTGCTGTTTCAAGAGAGGTAGAGCTGGTATATAAAATGTTCAGGTACATTATAGGACCATTATGGCTCTATTGGTAGATGCAATTTATGCACCATTGCTCTATTGGTAGATGCGAATTATGCACCATGGCTCTATTGGTAGATGCAAATTATGCACCACGGCTCTATTGGTAGATGCAAATTATGCACCACGGCTCTATTGGTAGATGCAAATTATGCACCATGGCTCTATTGGTAGGTGCACATCATGCACCATGGCTCTATTGGTAGATGCAAATTATGCACCATGGCTCTATTGGTAGGTGCAAATTATGCACCATGGCTCTATTGGTAGATGCAAATTATGCACCATGGCTCTATTGGTACATGCAAATTATGCACCATGGCTCTATTGGTAGGTGCAAATTATGTACCATGGCTCTATTGGTAGATGCAAATCTCATGCACCATGGCTCTATTGGTAGGTGCAAATTATGTACCATGGCTCTATTGGTAGATGCAAATTATGCACCATGGCTCTATTGGTAGATGCAAATTATGCACCATGGCTCTATTGGTAGATGCAAATCATGCACCATGGCTCTATTGGTAGAAATGCATGTCTCATGCACCATGGCTCTATTGGTAGATGCAAATCATGCACCA